TGACAACAAACATGAAACAATACACGGAGGAATTACAGGGAGTGATCATTCCAATACAGCAGAGGGCATGCTCAATGAATGGTTTACTAAATCCTCCCTTTCCTTGATATATATATAATTTCTTTTTTTCATTTTCTAATTTTTAAATACAAATTGAGAACAATCTTAACATGAAAAAACAAAACAATAGCTCTCAAACTACATCAAATGCCACACTTCTTAAAAAGAAAGAAAAAAAAAACACACACACACACAAAAACAGAAAAAAAACAACTGGGGTGGTCCCTATTGCAAGCTTACATTGCTTGGCTCTGTTGATGAAGAAAACTGCTGGAGGATTCCATCACAACCTGCCTATCATCATGATCTATTGGTGGAGTGAGTCCACTTGTACTACTGTAGAATGCAGTGGAAATTGTCTAATGGACTGTTCTGATATCTTGCCATCAACTGTGGCTTGCTACTCTGCCCCAGTAACCTATACTTATCAACATAAACACTGAGTATGTGTGTATATAATAAAGGATATATATCTATACAAATGAGAAGTGTTACTGAAACAATTATGTTCACACAGCATAAATTCAATGAACAAAAATATCCCTTTTCAGCTTGAAATCAGCATCTTAATTCTAAATATGTATATAAACAAAAATGAGACTGAGCCACAGTGGTTTTCAAACACTGCAGCAGATATGAATTATTCTGATTATTTTTTCAACAGCTTCCAGGCCATGAAACATTTCCTGGTAACTGTAACATCAGACATCTTCATTTACAATGAAACCACTGTATAAATAATGGATAAAACATACATGGTAATGCACATTCTGAAGTCATACAATACAGGACTATGTCATACTTAATTAAATATCTTGTGATAAAAACTGATTGCCCATAAATAGTTAAAAAATCTCTGATGTCCCTCAAGTGCTTTGGATATGCTAGACTGGATCAGACACACTACTACAGCAGATTAAAACTTTCTACTCTGTCCACACAAAATGGACCATCTACCTCTGAAGTTTGGTTTAATTACTCATTTTTCCTCTCTGTTAGTCAGCATATGTGTCAGCTTGAACATAAACTCAAATGAAATTGTACGCTGTGTATATATATATACATATATAGTTTCATTTCTTTTCTATATATACTTTTTTTTTTTTCTTTTTTGGGGGGGTTTGTTTTACTATATACTGTATCACACGGTCACTCCCTCTTCTACATCACCTCTTCAATACATATTAGATAAATGATATACAATCGTTTTTAAGTAGTTCTGTATTATACAAGGATTTCACTCGTTTCACTAAAAGTCACATCCATGTCACGAAAGTCCATTGTCCTTTGGGATACATCTTGCTGTGCCCAGTCACATACATGCTATCATCATCATCATCTAGAAACAATTGTTTGTGGTGTGTACATTCAATTATGACATAATGTGTAGTGTCACTTTGTACAAAAATTGGTGTTAATGACCATCCACTTTGAGTCTGCTTGGGGTACATCTGCAGATCTTTGTACTGGACTTCCCATCCTATGCACAGAAGCCAAGAAATTACTTGAACATTAAATCTAAACTTGGCAAATGGCTCATTCCTCCTAACAAAAAAAGAGCCTTTGGAACAAAAGAAAATTGCTGCTGAGTGGTACATACACTAGTAATGCCACTCGATCAAGCAAGTAATCCTATATATAGGGAATCAGTGAACATATAACTCTAAAGTTTAGAATTTCCACATGGAAACAAACCACGCATGCTTGATGAGACACTCTCCTAACCCAGCAACAACTTTCATTCATAAGCAAAGCCAAATGTGAACTGAAACAAGACTCTACTTCTCAGAAGTTAAAACTGCAATACACTCCAACCAATAAATGATAAAGACTCCTTTCATTTCAGCCCTTCATTTCTCAAATCTGATTCCTATCATTATACCACAATGGCACATTTTTTTTCTTATAAGCCTGTTCACCCTTGTATATTCATTCTCATAAAATAATAATAATTCTATCTTATTTTTCTTTTGCAAAGCAAATCATTCTACTTTCTCTGTGAGAAAATTTGATGCAATTTTGAATAATGAAATCAACTTATTGTTTTCAAAGATTCCTTCTCATTCTTCAGGAAATTTCTGCTTCAGGCAAATGTAACTACAGCTCTATCTATTAGCTATCTACTGTCTATATACATATATAAATATATCCATCTAAACATACTGATAATACATATGAACACTTTAAACCAATTGTGATCAACTATGTAAAATATGCCATACAGATGTTTAATAAAATAATTCACACTTAATTGCCACATTCTGGTTAAAGGACTTCAAACATGTGTATTACAAAAAAATGAAGAGAAATTAATCCTCAATATATGATGAATCACATACAAATCCATTTTTGAAATAAAAAAATCCTATCTTGTAGAAAATCCTCCTTTCTAACTTAAAATATCTTATATACAAACCTACCACTATTAAAATATAAATACATAAATTATCAAACATTAAAATTGTGATATCAACAATAAAATAAATCAAGATACTGTAGAATACATGAAAGAATCAATACGATTCATTAATTAAAAACAGTGCAAAATCTTAACAGATGGGACCTTTGACAAATAAATGGAAGTAAATTCAAATAATGGCAATAATATTAATAATAAAAATTAAAAAAAAGGGAAAAAAAAAATTACATATATACCCCTTAGTTTATGTTCATATGTGTGCAATTGTTTGTGTCAAGTCATTGAAAATATACCCATTAACCTTGTCACTTCACATTCATACAGCATGAAACGGGAAAATGAAAATGAGAGAGAGAGAGAGAGAGAGAGAGAGAGAGAGAGAGAGAGAGAGAGAGAGAGAGAGAGAGAGAGAGAGAGAGAGAGAGAGAGAGAGAGAGAGAGAAGAGAAAGAAGAAGTAGCAACCAAAGAGTTGATTTTTACATAGGAAGATAAATGTTTTGCTATCATGCCTTTATCCTGGTTATGTACGACTCACTGAAGTCACTGCCAATGTGTTTTTGTGAAATTTTCTCTAATTACATACTAAGCGTCTCTGTCTTGTTCAGTTCCATGTCTTAACTAAGCAGTTCATCAGCACGAAGTCCAATTACACTTTGCGTGTGGGTGTGGGTGCTATTGTGTTCTTTGTGTTTATGAAAAGGGAGGGTGCGGGAGGAAGGAGAGAGAACAATGACCTGCACTACACAATATTTGCTAAATAATGCACATTCATTACTCTTCTCACTGAAATATAGATAAACATGAAACACTTAAACATATCACTTATACATATGCTTATCATCTCCATATTCCACCAATTAAATATCCCACTTGAAGTAAAGGATAAGTAAAGCTACATACATATAATCAAAATACATATTATGCACATATAGATATATCTGCATATAATATATATACATATGTAAGTACATATATATATATATATATATATATATATATATATATATATATATATATATATAAATATATATATATATAAATATATATATATATATATATATATATATATATATATATATATATATATATATATATAATAATATATATATATATATAATATAATATATATATATATATAAATATATATATATATAAATATATTTATATATTTATTATATAATATATATACATAAATATAATATATATACAAATATAAATTATATATAAATTACATATATAATATATATATTATATTCATTATACATATACTATATATATCATACATATAATAAATATATATAAATGATATATACATACATTATATATATATATATATATATATATATATATATATATATATATATATATATATATATATATATATATATTATACATATAAATAAAATTTATGTTATATATATATGTAAATTATACATATCTATACATACCTTATATATACATAAATAAATATATGTATATAACATATATATAAGGAATTTTATGAAGAGACATAAATGAATGAAATTACCTTGAATATAAAGAAGCAAAAGAAAAATTTCCAGACATATTAAACACTAACATATGTGTATGTGTATATGCATACATGCAAGTCAAATGTTTATCGTTATTCTTTGGGAAACAACAAATGATGAACAACTGCTCTGCAATAAAGGTCCATAGACAACTAAAATTTTGAAGTGTCAATTACCGTCAACACAAAAATATTAGTCAATATCATATGAGGTTCATTTTATAATTTACTTCTGTTTTAAGTAAACAAATCTTTCCCAGCTACCAATTTCCAGAGTTAGGTTTCCATCCCATCTTTTCTCTTTGATTGTTAGAAAGTACAACAATTTTAAAAGATATGTAACACTATGGCCAGTGTAAAAAGATGCTACTTTGCAGCTGATAAGGATTCACTATCTTAAAAACACAACAAACTATTGCTGCTTCTCTGTAAACACTTATCTTCCTATTACACAGATTTCCAGTGATATGCAAAATGTTAAAGTGGACAAGTACACTCTAGGTGGACAATCCAGAGGCAGTGAGACATACCCATAATCATTCTACCAGGCAATCTTTTCTCACTGAACAATGAAGCTAATAGTATCTCTCACCTGCTACAATACAGTTCTTTTTGCATAACACTTTAAGCATTCTCCTCCCTCACTAGACCAGGAAGGTGTGACTGTAACCTGAAACTTTCAAACTGGGAAATGGCATCAAAGTCTTCCATGCTATACACGAGTTACACATATGCAAGAGAGTACTTGTATACATTACTTTGTATCACATGCAAGTTTACATTCAGCAGTGTATGCCTGCATGCATTCATTCATTCATCCACTCACTCACACACACAAACACACACATGCAAAAGCATTTATGCACATATGTGTATAGATATATGTAGTTAAGAGGGAGTCCAGTACAGAATGATATGAATATGCATACAAAGATACAGCATTGTAGAGAAGAGCAGGAATGGTATGTGTGTGTTCATGGCCATGTAAAAACTACATAAAAAACTTTTACTTGCACTTTCTACAGGTACAAAGATGACAATTAAAAATATCAACCCTTTAAATAACTGCCAGATTGAATAAACTTCAGGTTAATATATGAGCAACATAAATTACTTCAAAGTACTGTTTTTTGGTGTTCTACATACCTCGTTATAACAGAGTGCACAGTTGCTGAGCCTATGAGCTATGCCTAAGTATGGAGAAAAATGTGCATTTTTTACTCATCCACACATGCTTTTGCGTCACACGCAACTCTCACACAGACATGCACATATACACCGTGTCTCTTCTCACAGTATTCTACTGGGCGTAGCATCCGATGGATGTCTATCTTTAAGGAATTGAACACAGTTAATCACAAGGTCTAATAATCTCCTCCTCTGTGGCATTGTATCTTAGCACTTGAGGTCATCATGAGCACCCAAGTTGGCAAGAGTCTTCTTGATGCGCAATGCGGTCAGTCGTGCTGCTGCATTGTGATACCAGCATTCTTTCATAAGCTTGCTCATCACTCGCAGGTCCTGCAATGTCAAGGATGTTATGAGCTAAGACATCACATTTTCTAGTTGGAGGATAGAGGAAAGGCAGGCAAATATCCAACAGTATATGATAGATGAGGCTTTCTGTGTGTCTGTGGGTGTGTGAATATGTGACTTCTAACACAATAAGCTTGCAAATTATTAATCCATTCACGATGGGACTACCCATACTGAGCTAACTGGTACTGCACTCACCCAATTACTCTCAAAGCTTTCTGAATATGGTATACTCTTTTATTTCTTCAAAACTGAGGCTAAATAACTTCTGACAGGCTATATCTTCTCAGTAACCATAGACTGGGCCAAGCAAGTGAATAACTGTTTACTGCACACAAGTTGGGAAGCATTCATGCAAACACCAAGGATACTTGCCACCTGACATTAGGGCCCAGTTTTCAATGACATGATTAGACATCATCCTGAGCAAATGGCTTAAGATGTCAGTAATGAAGAAATATATAATGTGTGAATGAAAATTTTACTGAATGTACAATGAATCTTCTTACCTCACAGGACTGCCACTTATTTGGTATGACTGGTCGTTGTTTGTATATACAAACCACTTTTCGCATCTCATCAATGGTTGGATCATTAGGAACCATGTCATAATATGGTAACTGGTATTCTTCACAGCCACCACCTGTTAGAAAAAAATCAATAATAAGATTCAAAGATCAAAGACTAAAAAAAGACTAAAAATAACTTGCTCATATGCAATATTGGCCTCTTAAACAAAAACAGGGTAAGAAAACAAACAAATTAAAACATATGTAAGTCTCAGTCTCACTTTCCACCCACCCTCCGCCCTCTCTCTCTCTCTCTCTCTCTCTCTCTCTCTCTCTCTCTCTCTCTCTCTCTCTCTCTCTCTCTCTCTCTCTCTCTCTCTCTCTCTCTCTTTCTTTTTCTCTCTCTCTCTCTCTCTCTCTCTCTCTCAAAAATAGACAGGTATTGAATTTCCTTCTAAAAATAATTTGAAACAGAATCCATATATTACCTGTGTTACATCTCCTTGCAATCTCCCAATAGACAAGACCAAGTGCATAAACATCTGCACGTTTGAAGGAATCAAAATGATTCATGTTCATTGACTCATCCAGACACTGGAAAGGAAAACAGTACTCTAGATAATAACTGCATCACAAAGTGTTATGATTTTCTTATATTATTTTAACTTTATGAGAACTCAGTGAACTGGAAATTACTGTTTTGGCTTTTAGAGTAGATTTACCCACACTTAGAAAAGAAATTTAAGCATACAAACATGAGATTATCTGAACCACAAGGAAAACAGCTCGAGCAATGACCAAAAAGTAATATAAATACAAAGAGAGTATGATACACTGAACTACTACATTTTCAGTCTCAGTAATGGTTTCATCATTATTTCTTGGGACTAATACAGGAACCATACCAATGGCAAATGAGGTAATCAGGACTTATTTCTTAAAAATAAACAAATGGTGGACAGTACTTTGCTAACTCTACTTATAAATAATATGCATGATTACCAGAGAAATTCTAAGTATAACCACCCACCTCTGGAGCAAGATATCGTTTTGTTCCCACCCTGTTGTTGGGGACAATGTCCACACTGTCTGTGGCTGAGTCATATCTGACTGCCAAGCCAAGATCAGCAATGGCACAGTTTCCATTGGACTTGACCAAAATATTTTTACTCTTTAAATCTCTGTGAGCAATGGCTGGCTTTCCTGTAAGGACGAAAATATGGTTTAAAATTATAAAATTATTGTACTCCACTTTTGACAACAGAGAAATCAGATATCAATTCAAGCAGCTACAAAGCAGGGTATCAGCAGAAATGTAGTTAGATATTTGGGGGATAGGGTTACATCCTTTCAGGGGCCCCTATATTAGGTCCTAAAAGAGTACAGCAATTTCATTCTCTGAATTTAAACCTTTTTTTTTCTCTACTGAAATATGTAGGGTTCCTGTTAATGAATATCATCATATTTTACATTGACCAGAACATACGTCACTTTTTTGTAGAGATTACACATTAATCCACTTTGCTTTCTTAATAGCAAACTCCTCTAAAGTCATTTAAAACTAAATAAAATGCTGCTGCCTGACTTTGATGCAACAGAACTCAATTTGGGTGAGTGAAGAATGTGACAAAAAATATATACATTTTGGTAAACAGGATGACAGACAAGCTTTTTGTATGCTGGAGGTATTTTTCTGATTTGTGGGACTTAATAACAATAATTGAGCTGATCTGCACTACCTTCCAAGTGATGAAATCAATAAATTTTGAAACATTCACAATGAAATTAACAGGAACTTTACCATTACCAAAATCCAATAGAAAAAAAATTAGGGAAAATGTTCAATATTGAAAACTTGGTAAAACAAGTAATACACCCATACCTTTATTTCCCATGATATCCATGTGGAGATGTGCCAAGCCTGTTGCAATGGACAAAGCCATTCGAATCATTCCAGATGTCTCAACTGTATACCGCATCAAGTAGTCGAACAGCGAGCCCTTTTCATGATAGTCTGTCACAAGCCAAAGCTGTGTCCATGTTCCATTATCTGTCAAAAGATTTATTAATTTATTGTCTGGAATACATTCCACTGACAGGCTTTCTTCTTTGTCTGGTTTTCCTAATGTAATATTCTGAAAATGCTAGAAATATAAAAATATCACTATGTCTAAATTGTAATATTTTCCCCATTTCTATAGTACTATACATTTAAAGTCAAATAATTAGAATTACTACAGTATACAGGTACAGTATACAAAGCTTGAGTATAAGAAAATAATAATAATAATAAATAAATAAATAAATATAAATATATCACAATACACTACTTCATCACACCTTTATTATCTGCTGCAATGAAGCCAAGGATGTTGTCATGACGCAGCATCACTGTTTGGTAGATCTCAACTTCACGGAACCAAGAACGCTCATCCCTGTATGAGTAAAACACATATTTTATGCAATTTACTTTGTCTTAATCTTTACCTTAAAACATGTACAAATTACCGAAAAGTGATATTAGTCTATGGAATCACTTGAGGATAAGGTAAATGTAAAGAATTTTACATAAGAAATTCTGTTGCTTTAACCATAATTTTACAATCTACCATTTTTTCAAGCCATCATTGAGGTCCATACCAATAAGACTAACCTTGAAGAAAATATTTTGACGGCTACATATTCTCCTCGCCATCTTCCGCGCCACACCTCTCCGAAGCGACCCTTGCCGATGATATCAATTAACTGTATCTGTCGTGCAATACTTCGCTGCACTAACAAAGGCAAACCTGTGCATCGGGGGTGAGAAATGGCAATTAAGTGCAAGGTTTATGACACCCTTCCATCTAAACAAATAATTAACTCTGATGCTGAAAAATTGGAACAACAAAATTAATGAGTAAACTAGAGAAAGAGATATATGAGTAAAAAATATGAGTAGCCTCAACAATGCAGCAAGAATATGCTGAACAAGAAGAAACTAAAATGACTTATTTACTTCTACATGCCAATATGATAATAACTAGAGCAGATTAAAAACTTGTATTACAAAGCAATCAAAAAATATATATACAGACAAACATACAGGCCAAGAGTTTGTGAATACTCATAATACACTTCTGTCTATATAACCATTTTGTCATATTATGCTGACAATAATACAACTTCTTCCAAGTCAGAGAAATGAAAATCTTACCAGAGCCTGACCCACTTGAGGTCAAATCCATGAATTCTCGGATGGGTGTGTGCGAGCCCATCAGTGGAACTTCCGATCGATCTAAAATAGACTCTACGTCTGGGAAACCGTGTCTGATTCTTTCTGTGCGTTCCTGTTGGTAGGGATGTTTATGATTCAGTATCATTTTTTTTTCTCTTTATATATTCTAAATAGAACTAGTATAAGTAGATAAAACGGTCTCTAAAGCTTTGAAGAATTAAACCCTTGATGGTCATATACAAAACTACATATCTGTTAACAGTTTTCATTGTGCTGGAGTCCCAAGTGTTAGTTCATTCCTCCATTTTTGACTGATATATTACATAATAATTAATGTTAGTAACTCCCATGTACTTCCTTTTGTTTACTAATAACTGGGACACTATGGAAGAGTTATCTCAACCTGACCATCAGGGGGTTAAAGAACCAATAACCAAAAATAAAATAAATAATAGTTGTGATTCTAAATAAACCCAAATGCACATAAATCACAGGAAGGCAATAATTAACAAGGTTCATTACTCATTAAGAAACACTAATGGATTATCAGTGTCTTAAGTAGTTTCAAAATAATAAGAAATAAACAGAAATATTTTTTTCCATAACAGTTTGGTCCCATACTTCAATACTTCAACATGCATTCATACACCCACATACGCACAAAAACATTCACACACAAAATAGTTCCCCGGGGTTTTATGATGGGAAACCTGGGAATCTCCAACAACAGCAACCCCATCACCTCAGTACATATGAATAATGCTGCTCTTACCTTGCGGTGATGCCAATAGCATAAAAAAGCCACCAGGACGGCTGTCAGTAAGACGCACAATGCCACGGCACTTGCTAATGCTGGATTCCATGTCTTCCAACTTGATGATGGGTCTGTACATTCCACATATATTAATAAATATTATTATATGTAAACAAATAAAGTAACTAAAGTATATCTAAATCTTTACTTTACATTACATATCATAATTAAAAAAAAGAAAAAAAAACTGCAATCAAATATATAATCACAAGATAAAACAGAAAACTGTTAGTGAAACAAAAGGAGAGATAACAGAGACTGAGAGTAGAGTGTGAGAAAAAACATAGAAAATGCAAACAATTATCTTTAAATCATATTAGAAGAAATCATAAGCATAATTTCCTTTAAATGAAACACAGACAAGGGCAAATTAACCTGATGAAAGAAAACTTGTGTTAAGTTACCTGACTTTTCTCTTTTTTTTTTCTCTTTTTATCTTTTGTTTTAAGGAGAGACAAAAACAAATTGCATGAGCATAGTTGTTTGACAAATACAGAAGGCAAACTAGCAATCCTACAAAGCTTCTTCAAGAATCCTACTGCATAGCAACACATGTTACTGTCTCTCAGTGGCTTACATATCAAATGATGAAGAATTAAGAGAGAAAGAGATTAAGGGGAAAGAATCTGAGACATTTGAGACAAAAAAGGGTTGTTCTAGTAGTAATCATATCACCTGTAAAGTATGAAACACAAGCACAGAGTAATGTATGATGATCTATCATTTACCTAATGCCATAATGACTACCATATGTGATGGACTACGACAGTCGCTTGTAATTTTCTTTTTGACATAAACCCTATAAGTATCTGGTTAATTCACATTTTACTTGTTAGAACATGAAATTATTAGCCTCAGTACATCAGACCAGGAGTTCTAGTAACAATCTTCATCACATGAATTCAAGGTTGTTGCTGATGAAAGTAAAACTCTTGAGGTAAAGAAAAACCAATTGAAGAAAAAAATCCTTTAGGGAAATAAAATCATCTTCAGCACCAACAATACTATTACTAAACTCCTGTTTACACAAAACTGAATACAACAGTGATAAAATTTTCAATATACTTCTGTCTTAACTTTCTGCTCATTTGTGGGGAAAAAACTGTAAAGAACTTATCAGGATGACAAGTATTGACTGCATGTTTTGGTATAGTTTTAGGAAAGACCAACATACTGAAACAAAACATAGTTAGACTTAAGATGATGCAAACATTTCAACTTGGGACTGAGATATAAATTTCTTCATAGATCTATGACTATACTAGTGATAGTGATAATTTTCCAATCAATTCAGCTTGTAACCAAGAGAGGAAGGCAAGGTAGATGGAGGAACACAAACAGGATAAGGAGGCACAGATGAAAGATGAAGATCAACTCCTGAAAGTCAGTAAAAAGTTCAGTACTGCATGCGCAGACAGGAAGAGAAATATGTATCTTATTGGTCTAATCTAATGAATAATTCTTTCAGTTCAAATAAGTATAATTTTGATATACGGATAATTTGAACAATGCCATTTGGATGAGTTTTATAACATTTTTTATCCAGTATGCACACATAGGAGAACTTCAACTGGCATATTTTGAACATTAACTGATGCATCCAGGGAATATAAATCACGGAGTTGGCCATAGTAAAGTTTATATTTGCATAGTTCTCATTTGGTGATTTCAATTGTTTGCTGTACATCTCTCTTTCTGGGCCTTTATTAATAATAAAAAAAAAAAATTGTTTTCCAACAACTTTGGAAAGCTATAAATTGAAGACACATGATACATGCCTCCTGCCTTAAAGGCAGTCAGAGCCACATAGAGCAACATTAATGTCTAGGCTCATGCCAAAAACTTGACTTAGGACTTCTTAATATCTGGGTGCAGTGAGTTAAGAGTTAAGAAGTAAAAGAACTGTTAGGTATAAGTAATGTCTTCCACATAACAATTTTTAAAAAGTTGTATCTATTCTTATTATGTGTTCCTTACCTATATATATATAAAAGCAAACATTCAGAGTTAACCCTGAAAACAAATTGATCCTTTGTCTCCAGATGACATGTATATCATGCCATGCTATGAATGACAATCTCACCATGGACAAGTATATCATGTAATCACTAGACTGAGATGATCATTGTTTATAGCATTCTGTCATGCAGACTTTGTACCGTGGTGGCTTGATACTTTAGTGGAAATTTTTGTAGAAAAAACAGTAATATGACCATAATGTTTCATACATTTCTGTATCAGAGAGAGAAAGAAATTTAAGTGCATTTATGGCATAAAAACAAACATGACATTTGCCTGCATTTCTAGCCTTTCAATATTTCAGCCAGCTGGTGGCACAGAGATAAAATGTGTTGTCTAATGCCAAAAGATAATAAAGAATATTACAACAACAATATTAACAATGAAGATGAAGAAATCTGGAAAAATGCTAATAACTAAAAGGCAATTTAAATCCATTTCTATATGCCAAAATGTAAAAAACATAAAAGCCACAATAAACAAGAAACTAAAAAGTAATTCTTAAAAAATAGCAAACAAATAGCTAATTATGTGTAAATATTTACTGTTGTAAATATGAATATGCACTATATTGCAAGCAAACAAGTGTAGGATACAAACCCATAAAATTTTGAGACACTAATTTCTCAATTCAATGCTCTAAATCAAATATGACTAGAGTGAAAAATAATATATATAATTTCTTACTCTAAGTCATTTTAGCATATTTTACAACACATTTTACGTTTCTTTTTTTCTTTTCTTTTTTCGTTTTTTACATAAAACTAACACTCTTTGGTACAAGCTGATCATACCTACAATGGCAAAGTTGTATATATCTTAAGGTAAGGAATTTGTCCATTAATACAGAATCATAAAAAAATTGCCTTCATGGAGTCAACACTGTCACCCTGAACTGCAAAGCCATACTTTCTGCTGACAGCTGTGCAATAGTTTGTGTAAAAAAAGTTAGCTATGTGCAAACCATAAATGTTAAATATCTCTGAAAAGCCAAGGCAGTCACTGGAATTTCTATAGACAAAAAACGTGAACTTAGGACTTCTTAATATCTGGGTGCAGTGAGTTAAGAGTTAAGAAGTAAAAGAACTGTTAGGTAAGTAATGTCTTCCACATAACAATTTTAAAAAGTTGTATCTATTTTTATTATGTGTTCCTTACCTATATATATATAAAAGCAAACATTCAGAGTTAACCCTGAAAACAAATTGATCCTTTGTCTCCAGATGACATGTATATCATGCCATGCTATGAATGACAATCTCACCATGGACAAGTATATCATGTAATCACTAGACTGAGATGATCATTGTTTATAGCATTCTGTCATGCAGACTTTGTACCATGGTGGCTTGATACTTTAGAGGAAATTTTTGTAGAAAAAACAGTAATATGACCATAATGTTTCATACATTTCTGTATCAGAGAGAGAAAAAAAATTTAAGTGCATTTATGGCATAAAAACAAACATGACATTTGCCTGCATTTCTAGCCTTTTAATATTTCAGCCAGCTGGTGGCACAGAGATAAAATGTGTTGTCTAATGCCAAAAGATAATAAAGAATATTACAACAATAATATTAACAATGAAGATGAGGAAATCTGGAAAAATGCTAATAACTAAAAGGCAATTCAAATCCATTTCTATATGCCAAAATGTAAAAAACATAAAAGCCACAATAAACAAGAAACTAAAAAGTAATTCTTAAAAAATAGCAAACAAATAGCTAATTATGTGTAAATATTTACTGTTGTAAATATGAATATGCACTATATTGCAAGCAAACAAGTGTAGGATACAAACCCATAAAATTTTGAGACACTAATTTCTCAATTCAATGCTCTAAATCAAATATGACTAGAGTGAAAAATAATATATATAATTTCTTACTCATTTTAGCATATTTTACAACACATTTTACGTTTTTCTTTTTTTTTTTCGTTTTTTACATAAAACTAACACTCTTTGGTACAAGCTGATCATACCTACAATGGCAAAGTTGTATATATCTTAAGGTAAGGAATTTGTCCATTAATACAGAATCATAAAAAAATTGCCTTCATGGAGTCAACACTGTCACCCTGAACTGCAAAGCCATACTTTCTGCTGACAGCTGTGCAATAGTTTGTGTAAAAAAAGTTAGCTATGTGCAAACCATAAATGTTAAATATCTCTGAAAAGCCAAGGCAGTCACTGGAATTTCTATAGAACTCAAACAGATTCATCATTTGTCAAAACAAACCAAGGAAAGGAATTGAACAGCCTAAGAGAACCAAATCTCTGCTTCTCTGACTTAGAATAACGTATAAAAAAAACAATCGCACGCCCGAAAAAAGGAAACCACAACACTACCACTGACAAGGAGTAACAAACAAAAATATATTTCCAATGCAATAAATAGGTCAAAAATTACAGCCATTATTCCTCTAGGAGATAAAAGCATACAAGCTGGTACTGTATAACTATTACTAAATATACATGACATTAAAAGAGAGAAATAATGACAATGACCGTAACAAAGAAAGAAGGGAATCATCAATAATCAAATGGAAGCATACATAATATTAGAACCTCCAAAATTCTGCAGATGACTCCAACATGATGCATCCTTGGATAAAAGCATAAAGAATTTTCATATTCATAACAAGCAGACAATGACATGATCTATACCAAATATACCATCACGTCAACAAAAACAAAGGAACTATAAATGCATTTTTGTGGATATAAATATACATATATATATCAAAACCATATACGTACACAAATCATGTACTTACATATACATATACATACATATACACATATATTTACATATATATGCACATTTATATATGCATATGTGTGTATAAATGTATACATATATGTATATATATATATATAAATATATATATATATATTATATACACACATGTGTTTATATTTATGGACATATATGTGTACATACATGTGTGCGTACATTCATATGTATATTTATAAGTATTTGTAAGTGTATATATATATAAAACATACATATATATATAACACATATACATAAACATATATATATATGTA